TTCCCTCTTTACCCGAGGCCCCGGGGCCTGCAAACTCGGACAACACTCTCTCGCCGCAGGTACCACGGAGCCCGTGGCGAGCCCCTCTCCCCGGGCCCTCCACAAAGCGCCCCCGCTATCGCCTACCTTGGCCACTTTGGGAATTCTCTGCTTCCCGGCCGCGGTGGAGGCCGCCATGGCTGCAGCAGAATTCGTTCGGTGAACCCTGAGTCCCAAATATCGGCCAGAAGGCTCGCCGATGCCGCAAACTTTCTAATAACAAGCGGGATCCCGGAAGCGGAAGCGGAACTGCGCTTGACCTTTAATCTCCAGCACGCGCCGTGACGCAGGGAGCGCCGTTTCTATGGTAACCTGGCTGCGCGTCCTCCTTAGAGCCTGGTGTGGAGCGCGGCGTCCCGGAGCTGCTGTTGAGGTGGATAGAGCTGGCCTTCCCAGCAGGGACGCGAGGACTGGGTCCAGGGCGTCAAGGACACATCCAGGTCAGTGTCCGGGACTGGGTGACAGCGCGAGAACCGCTGGACCTTTCTAGCTTTGGCACCCAGCAAGGGGAGTAGGAACCAACGCCAATCTGGATGCTCGAGGTTGGGAGAAGAGAGGCAGGCCGAAAAACTACTACTCCCAGCATGCCAAGGGGCGAGCCGCTGCGCTCCTGGGCAGCCCGGAGCTGCGTTGCATTCTAGATTTTGTAGTTTCTGAGACCCACTACTTTCGTTTCTGGACAGCAGTGCCCAAATTGGACAGTAGTGCCCAAATAACTAACTCCAAGGTTATTAAAAGTTTATTAAAAATAACTTAAAGTATTTTAAAGCCAGATAATACAAAACAAAAATAAATGAGTAGACTAGCAAACCAGCCAGCCTTGTTCTCAGTTAGGCAGATGTTTAAATTCTCTTAGTCTGCCTTAATTACATGCATTATCTTGGCCTCCATGTCTTTATAAGACGAGGATAATATCTAGTTCAGTAGGATTAAAAAGAAAATCTATGTAGCGCTCACTAAATGTTGGCTGGTATAATTCTTGACATGCCTTTAAAAACAGAAAAAAATTACTTATAAGCAAGCAAATGGTTAAGAATTTTTTAAAAGACTTTATTTCTTGGAACAGTTTTAGGTTCACAGCAAATTTGAGAGAAAGATGCAGAGAATGCCTATTCCTCCCCCCTCCCCCACCCTCCCCACTATCAACATCCCCCACCAAAGTGGTACATTCGTTACACTTGATAAACCTACATTGACATATTATCTCACAAAGTCCATAGTCTACATTAGGGTCACTCTTGGTGCTGAACGCTCTATTATATGTCTTTCTGAAACATTAGACTCTCCACTGTTGTCATTAGCAATTCTCCTCAGAAAGACTTGGTTATACAAACAAAGCAGGCACTTTCTTATGGGACTTCTCAAACTCTTTAATGAGCATGATGGCCTGTCAGGAATGCTATCACAAGCAGCATTTCCTATACTTATTTGACCATGAGATGTTTTGTCTCAAAATCTCTCTCAGGATCGCTGCCCTTTCAGGACTCCAGTTTGGGGAACTCATTTGGAGCAAGGGCAGCAGCTGTCCATACAGGGGTGTAACTCTTGGCCACCTGCAGTGGTGACTAATTAAAAATAAGAGGATCCGGAATCAGTAAATAATTCCTTTCACTGTTTTTCAAGCCTACTGTTAGAATCCTCTAAAGCAGCTTCATTGGAAACAAAGAACACGGTTGCAGAAATTTCTAGACAGGCCAATTCTCAGAAACATCATTGTCCTGGAGAGAAACACGTCAACTGGTTTGTGGTGACAGTCAATCGTTGCAGCCTACCCCCAGGGGAAAATATGTCCCACCAGCACTCTAATACCATGTTCACTCTGACCATACGGAAATTGAATTAACGTCCAATTTTGTTAGTACTATAACTGGACTGGCTTGTCATCTCAGATTAACAGTGGGCTGTTTTCTTTCTTTTGGGGACAGGATAAAAAATGTCATTACTCACTTCTCCAAGAGGAAAGGTAGAAGTCGTTCACTGCCGAAGAACAGAGTCCCGGGATATTTTTTGTATCAAAAACCTCATTAGAAAATTTACTCAGAATCTGTTTGGGAGACTTAATCTCATCTACCTTCTGTGAGTACATAGCCAAGGAAGCTTAACTATGTTTATCAGTTTTATCACACAACAGGAGGGGACCCCAGTCCCCACTCCTCTGTCTTTATGGGGCCTTTGGCGAGGAAATGGGCAGCAAGAAAATCTACCCTACTAAGCAGGAGATCTTTGGGAACAGCCAGTCTCTAAGACCTGTAACAACATGCAGGTCAGAAGGATTTCTCATGGGTTTTGGATTCAGACAAACTTGGGTTCAAATCTCAACTGCCCCACCCACTGGTAGATTCACCTGGGGCAAGTCAGTAATATTAGCTACCAGTTGTGAGAATTTATTTTCTATCAGGCTCTGTGCTTTGCCAACATGATCTTATTTAATACACTGACACCTCTCTGAGCTAGCCACTATCATGTCCATTTTAAAGATGAGAAAATGGAGGCCTGCCAAGGTCAAGCAGTTAGAACTTGTAGGTGACAAAGCCTGGTTATGCTCTTATCCACTGCTGTGAAAATAGTCTTCTAAATTTCAAAATCTGTATAGATTTTTTTTTCTTAAAAGTTCTTTTTCCCCCTGTTTTGCTTTTTTGGATACCAGAATATAAATATCCTGTAATCTTTCTTCATAATTTTATTGAAAAAGATAAGAGATAGCTCAGTATTGTGGATTTCATAAAGCTTCATATTAAATACACTTGAAATGTTTAAACAGGCCAACCTAAGACATTAAAATTTGTAGTTTCTGATTAGCACACTGCTGAGTATAATGGAAACTGGTACAATTTTGTTAGAGAACAGTAGGGCAATATGTATAAAAGACTTTAAAATGTATGCACCAATGAAATTATTTCATTTTTTTGGTATTATTGTGGATTAAATACCTTAATGATGTCCTCTGGATGGAAAAAGTATGTTGATACACACACACACATACACACACACACACACACATGCACTCATGCACTAACATACACAAGAACTATGCAGAGAACATTATTAGAGTGAAATAAAAAACAGTAGGTCTTTTTTAAAAATTATTATTATTGATTTCAGAGAGAAAGGGAGAGGAGGGAGAGAGATAGAAATAATGATGAGAGAGCATCATTGATTGGCTTCCCCCTGCACGTCCCCTACTAGGGATCGAGCCTGCAACCCAGGCATGTGCCCTTGACCGGAATTGGACCCGGGACCCTTCGGTCTGCAGGCTGATGCTCTATCCACTGAGCCCAACTGGCTAGGGCAAGAACAGTAGGTCTTAATGCCACTTTCTCCTTGAGTATTTTATGCTATATTCTAGAAACCTCATGATTCTGTGTTTGACAGCTTTGCAAAGAACAAAAAATAAATACTCCCTCCACCTAAGGATGGAAGTATTAGATTCTTTTGTATAAAACTGGCTTGTTCATTGTAAGGATGAATGAGATAGAAGCCCATTAGATAAAAGTGGCCAGTAAGCACACTAGCCTGTTTCAACCTTAGCCTCCCCCAAGAATTCATAAGCACATATTGATTTGAGGTCCACATTGATTATGTCTGTGGTCCCCAGAAGCTTCAGAAGATCCCAAATAATGACTGCATTTTCGGACACACAAAAGCTGAGTTAGTTTACCAACGTGTTTCCAGGAGACTGGCTGTAATAAACACAGGTCAGGTGTGAAGGGATGGAGCTTCAACTCAGACTAGAAATAATGAGCTCAAGGAACATGAGCTCACAGTAAAAAAAATCACAATTATACAAGGAAACATGCACCATTTTTTGAGAACCACCACCAACAACAAAATATCCAGCAGAATCAGATTCTCAAAGGTTGATATATTGTCAGACAAAGAATATAAAATAACTGCTTACTATGTCTAAACTGAATAGGTCTTAAAAGATCATAAATGAATAATGAGGTTTGAAAAAAAAAGTCAAAAACCATCTAGAAATGCAAACACAGAGGTGGACAAAAGTAGGTTTACAGTTGTGAGTATGCGAAACATAGAGTTTATTCTTTTGTGTTCATAAAGCTAGTATAGTAATCATAACCTGTATGTCTTTTTCCACATGAATAATTATAACTCTACTTTTGCCCACCCCTGTAGAGTCAAAATTAACGAATAACTGCCACGGTGTTTTGAATTTAATTAAAAAAGGTCCGCCGCTTGCATCTATAGACACTTATGGCATACAAGTGGTTAAAGTTCAGTGGCTGAGTCAAATATAATCGATACAGTTGAAGACAGAAGTAGTGAGGTAGAAGATTAAGACCAAAAAATTATCCAGAATTCAGCAGAAAGAGATAAAAAATGTGAGTGGGCTATTTGACAAGACTAGTAAACTTCTAGAAGGAGATAAAAGGTAGTGGAACAGTCCCTATTTGAAGAGATAATGACAGAATTTTCCAGAATTGTTGAAAGCATAAATTCTTCTATCCAGAAAACTCAGTGAATCCTAAACAAGATAAATACACAGAGAAATCTACAGCTAAGCAAATTATAATAAAACAGCAAAATGCCAATGCTAAAGAGATCTGAAAAATAATCAGACAAAAAAGAGACAAATTACCTGCAAAGAGCTGAAGATTAGACTAATAGATGATTTCTCACTAGCAACAATGGTAGCCAGAAGATAATGGGAAATAATATCAACCTAGAATGGTATATGCCCAGTGAAACAATTTTTTAATACATAGGAGAAATGAATTCATTTTCAGACAAACACAAATGCCTCAAATATATTATAGGCAGGAGGAGGGATAGTTCAGCTGGAAAAGCCCAAGATACAAGAAGAAAAGTAAACAAAAATAGCAAATATGTGGGTTAATTTAATTTATATAAAGCAATAGCAGTGAGAACCAACCTCATCTAGATATTCAATTTAAATATGTTATAAGATATAAATAACTTAGATTAAAATACTGGACAATTGTATATAAACTGGAAGGTACATGTTTATAACGAAAGTACTCTTAAGGTATTGTGCAGGGGGAGAGAGTGGTAGCTAATACACAAAGGTGCCTTCCCTCTCTCCCGTGAACCACGTGTCCAGCGTTTATGCCCTTGTGTAGGCCCTTCTCACACTGAATCAGGGCCAGCCGGGTGTAACCAATAGAAACCTACAGAAGTGATTTCTCTGTAACTTCAAGTCTAGGTCATAAGAAGTCTTACAACTTCCAACGGGCCACTAGGAATGCTCTTTCTCAGAACCCAAATGCCATATTGTTAAA